CCCCAAAACCCCAAAACCCCAAAACCCCAAAACCCCAAAACCCCGCTCAAGTAGTGAATATGGAAAATATTTAATTTTAATATTTCTTTATTATCCGTTTAGGAAAGTCTTAGTTTTCCCAAACAGAGGGCACATCTTGCAATCACTTATTGCTGTGCGTCTAATAAATTAGATAGATACCAGGCTGGGTTGTTCTCAAGCTTTTTAACGTTGTAGCTGATGGTGGATCTTCCTTTCCATTTGCAGAAGTTGTTATATTCTTGATATACACTCTTTAGCAAGTTTTCAACAAGTTCGCAAGCCTCTGCGTATTTTTCGTAATACTTAGAGCTAATGCACAAGTGCAAAGGCTCTGGACTCTCACAGTTGTTTGGACCCTCCTTGAAGCCTGATCCTTGTCCTCTCAATCTGAGTTTAGTAACATCTTGAATTGGACCTTTGAAGTTATTCTCTTTGAGTTTCCCCAAAATAGACTTCATGTTCTTTCCTCTGTGACCAATAATCTTCCTTGCAACACAGAATCCAGGAAGATTTCTGATGGGAATTTCATACTTAGCTGTGAACTTAGACACAGAAGTACATTCCTTACTAATGCCTGAATCCATCGAAGTTGGAGATAAGCTTGACTTCTCCATAGATTTTGGTGAAGAGGTTTGAGCAATTAAGCTTGCATCCTTCTTCACATAATTAACTTTTTGAGCTTCCTGCTCTTGATAATTTTTATTGACTGTTGCTTGACCTTCAGAATTGCTTCGCTCCTTCACGACTAACTTTTTCTGCTTGGCAACTCTGTTGAGTTCACTACAATCACCAAACTGCCATTTGACAGTTAGATAAGCATCAGTCCCTGGAAGTTCATAGAAGTTGAGATATTTTTCAGCTTGTTTTCCCTTTTGAGGATCTTCCATCGTTACAACAGCTTTATTGCAACTTTCCATAATTTGGACTTTTGAGACATCTCCGAATTTACCGAAAACTCCTTTGACATCATCAGAATCAAGCTCATATTTGACACCTTCCTTATTTAGAGATGACTTCAACTATGAGGGTTGGGTTCACTTGAAGTGAGTCATCTTCAAAATTCAGTTTAATGGGGATGATCTCCTTGACCCTTTCAGACTGATGCTTTTGGATTTGAAGTTTAGACCCGCTGTCATTCTTTGAAGAGGAGTCTGTTCTACCTGAGCTACTGTCACAAGTGCTATCATGAGATCTGTTCAGGGGGCTGAGGTCTTCCCTTACACCTTTGCTCTGATCATCATGACTGTTATGACGAGAATGGTTTACTTTAGAAGGATAGAAAACCCTTCCTGATTTCTTTGCCTTCAACATATTGCTACTCTGGTTTATCTGAGGTATAACCTTTTGTGAGTCAGCCTTTGTTTTAGTCTGCGGAGATCCATCAACACAAGGAGGGCTCCAGTTGAAATTTGAGGAGTTATAGTTGTAATCATACTGTCCCCAATATGCTTGGTTATGGTTAGTGTAATCATTATATCCAAACAATGAATAATTCCAAGCATTGTAATGCTGATTATTGCTGAAACCTTCACCATATCAATGTTGGCCCTGATATCTCTGCATCATTAACAATTAAATTTTATTTTATCTAAATATAACAGCTATTTATCAATTGTTGGGGTAAAAAGGGGTTTTGGGGTTTTGGGGTTTTGGGGTTTTGGGGTTTTGGGG